TAGATTCAAACATTTATTAGATAATAGAGACATTTTAGAGTGAATAAAACTTTTAAGACATTCCCAAATTATGATCTTCTTTCCTCTTCATCCTTCCCAAAGTAAGATATATAATGTATTAAAATATCCGATAAATTGTTTTAATTCGACCTTCTGAAAATATTGTTCTGTTAGTTTCTCAAAATTACTTTAAAGCATCTTACATGAAAGACGCCATCGACAAACGATTATGAATATTTGCAGCATCACACTTATAAACAATTATAGACGATGTCACTCACACAGACATACGCACTTACAAATAGTCACACCACTAAATACGTTTATATAAGGATAGAGGAAGACATGCAAGCATTTATATTCCTAAATAAGCAATATATATATATATATATATATATATATATATATATATATATATATATATATATATCTACTGTTCATTTTAATAATACGGTACGATTATCAGGATGTTGAAATTTTATTTATTTTTTAATCATTTAATCTTAAACAAGGCAATAAAGCCACTAAGATGCAAGTAATTACTGCGAGCGTGAAACAGTATGAGAAAAATATTATGGAGAGAGAACCATAAAAGAACAGAAATTAAGATGACAGAAGATAACGATTTGAAAGCCAGAAGCCGGAAGTGAGTTCTACAAGCGAGAATTGTGTGAGAAGAAACTGTTAGAACTGTTAGCATAGAACTTAGGGTTAACATAAAAATTAATTTCAATAGTAAAATGTTGAAATCTCGTACTGCACTTATATTCGTAAAGTCGATGTATCAAAGAAAATGTAAATCTCATCTGAACAATTATCAGGAAAATATCTTTAGACACAGAAAAGCTATGAATTTAGAGATTCTTGATAAAATCCAAAGAGGAATCTGAAATGTTATCGTTCCTGACCTGGCTCCTCGGCTTCAGTCACCTAATACGTTACGACGGTGGGATGGGACTCGGGCAAATTATTCTCCGATAACTAGTTATCAATCTACGTACTAGTAATGTTTTATTAAAAAAAAAAAAAATAGTTACAGATATTGCCAACCTCAAACCGATTGAAATCTCCCTCGAGGCTGAGAAATTGTATATTTCCCCATTATCGACCACCAAGGTAAGAAGTCAGCCTGCCCTTTTCCTCTTAAAATATTGGCCCATCATAATCTTTAAAGTCCCATTTCTTCTAATTATTTGGCGTTTTATTAATCTTAGTAAATATGAATACAGATTTAAATGCAGTTCCGCTTTATTTGGAAGATGGCACAATATAAACTTTCTAATCCATTTGACCTTGTAACAAACTAAACTAAGCTCAATAAATATCTATAGAATTTAATAATTCTACTAATACGCTTGTTTGCAGAAGGTACAAATCTTCACAAATATTCTTAAATGCCTATAATTGGTAGCAGAAACTATTAGTTTATAGCAACGGCTTCCCATACTTAATACTTCTCGAATTCACTCTCGCGTGGTCATGTGTGACGTCATGAGCTGCGGTGCGATTTCGCTTCCAGCGTCTTATATGCACGATTTTGTCGTTGTTTGGAAATGTTCCATGTAAACAGAAACAGACTATCATCACTGTCTTGTCTGTGTATTGCTTAATATATTGTAATGTAATTATCATCTTTGATAATGGCTTATGTAAGCCGAAAGCTTAGATAGGATTAAAAAATAAATATGTGTCAATATTGTGATTTTTTTCTTCGTTTAATGATAATGTTATTAAGCTTATCAGACGTTATGAAAAGAATTTACATAAAATAAATAGACAACACTTGTCTATATTATTCAATGAAACATGCATCAATTAAAAAATGCTGCCTAAATGTACACACAATATATATATATATATATATATATATATATATATATATATATATATATATATATATATATATATATATATATATATATATACCATATATATGCATATACGCACGCGTACACACACATATATATATATTGCTAAACTGATTGTTACCTTTGTCGGAACCATTGTGCAATAGCTGAACCAATGAATACATTTGACTTAAAGTTCAGATTTTGAATAAAATAGTTTAAACAATAAAGTACCATAAATAAGACAGTATGTGTGAGTCAGGCTATGTGGTGCAAAGGAATTATTTGAACTTTTGTGATAAATGTCCATATATTTTACTCATTGTTTAAGGTTTTCTTATGTTTTTGAAAGTGATTTTATTTTGCCAGACGTAAAAATTGACCATTAAATTGCTTCGTGGAAATGTATCTCCTTTTATTATCATTATTTTAAATACTTCATCTTGCTAAGGCAGTCTATTTTATCATTTTGTCAGTTTATCGGTGTGACTTAAATAGAAGAAAAAGTATAATAAAATGTTTATTTAATTTCGTTCTGTTTCATACAAATCAACACACACGCATAGCGAATAATCACACACACTCAAAAAATACACACAGACACACAAAAAAATGAGTGTAAATATGTAGATTTTTTAATTAAAACATTTTCTACTGCAGCTTGAAAAAGAAAAAAAATAGATGGCTGGCGCGGAGAATATATATATATATATATATTAAAAATGTACTTTATTTTGGCGAATAGTACTTAATAGCGGAGATAGCGTTTGTAGAAATAAACAGTGCGAGCGCAGAAATCAATACTGCATGGCGACTTGCAGTTTCACGCCTTAAGCGACCATCAGGTTATAAAATGGTCTGAAGATTACTTAGAGCAGGAAACCAGTCACTATGCAGTATTGGTTTCTACGTTCACACTGTTCGCATGCATCTATCTATCTATCTATCTATCTATCTATCTATCTATCTATCTATCTATCTATATATATATATATATATATATAGAGAGAGAGAGAGAGAGAGAAGGAGAGAGAGAGAAGGAGAGAGATGGATGGATGGATTTAAATGGTTATGTGAGTATTGTAGATTTCACAAGTGTGATGAATATTGTATATTTTATAAGCGCAAAATATATTGACCACTAAGAAAGAAGAGTAAGCAGATTTTATTGCAGTCGTTGTTAGTTTTGAAAATTAAATGTTGGATTTATTTTTACCGGGGATCGTAGAAAGTTTATGTATACTAAAATGAAATATAGCAATATTTTATCTACCACGTCATAATACATGCATATATACTTACGTATAGACATGATGATATATACTTACGTATAGACATGATGATAGACATGATGATGGCTGCCAACTCGTTATTGACGATAGCCATCACAAGATATCAGTTGTACTTTGAGCCGATGTGACTCTTTAAACCGGACAAGCTTTTAAAATTTACGAGTTGGTAGACATGAGAAACATACATTTTGTTGTCATTAGGTCTATTTTTGTTTGCTTGTCTTTTCAGCCCAACAGCACACCTGAAAACTTTCCGAAAAAATGACATGACTTCTCAGAAGTTAATACCATTTTGTAATTGGTTGTTGCTCTGGTACGATTACTTCTCATATCACTTCATTTTCCTGCGTTACTCAGGCAAATCCTGTCGCCAAAATCTCAAGTGAGGCTATCACCTTATATGGTCAGGAAGTTCTATATCAAGATCCTTTCGGACATTTGTTTTCAGCTTTTCTTTCACAATCCGATAATTATTGAAAGCAACCTTTCCATCATGAAACTTCTTTCACAGCTACTACGATCATTTGCATTATATAATGTATACAAAGATATTTTGTTCTATGTAATGCTTTTCCGATGCAGGCTGAAACATCTCGACAGTTTTTTTAGACTAATAGTAAATCTCAGTCCAGTTGAAACACTCATGAAAGAGTCATTAAGCGTTGCAAATCATCCTCGTTATGAGCCACAACATCGAAATCATTTGCATACAACAAGTAGCATATAAGGATTACCAGATACCATCGTATTAGCCAACATTCTCCTGATATTAAATAGATTTCCAGGTGCGATAACAAGTCTTTATCTCTCTTGTTGGGTGCACCAATGTCACAGTGTCCAATGGAGAGTTCATTATACAGCGCAATTTTAGTATACAGGCATATTATAAACATGCGCATAGACATGCGTATGCATTGTATAGCTGGCTGCTGGGATGGCTAACTAATCCAGATATCTACTCAGGAACATTTCTGTTACTTCAGCACTCGCAGAGACCACATACTTCCACAATAATGAGAGAGAACCTTAATTAAAGTTTCTTAGAGGGCGAGAGCGAGCGAGTGCATTATCTGGTGTGATCAATAATTTGAATAAGGCCAGCACGCAAAAATCTCGGGTCACTACGATTTGGAACTTTGTACTAGCACAACCATCGATAGCTTCCGAACATTTTGTCTACTCAATTACACCCATAATTGGTTTAACTTTTAATCAAACTCTGGATTGATTGATTTGTTTTCTACGGTTTATCAACACATTGCAGGTTATTTAAATAATAAAATATTTTTAGATAGCAAGAAAGTTTTTGGAGATAATAATGGTTTAGTGATATAAGTCTTACTTATTAACCCATAGCTGGTGGGAGAAGAAATAGATTCTCATTTGCTGTAATGGTTGGTCAGTTTACTGCAACTGTTGTTTCTCCAACTTATATAAAATTCTTTCTTCATTGAGGTTCAGATTTTTTTAGTCAATAAATTAAATCTTTTCTAAATTATCTTAAAGACGACTTCCAAAAATTTCTGTCTACTCAATTACACCCACAAGGCTACGCGGAATAATTTTTAGAAACTTTCCAACTTTGGATTGATTGATACGTTTTCGAGGGCTCTTCAACTCATTGCAGGTTATTTAAAGCCAGGAAATATTTTTAGATTGTAAGAATTTTTTGGAGATAATAATGGTTTAGTCATATAAGTCCAACTAATTAACCTATAGCTGGAGGAGAAGAGGTGGATTCATATCTTTCCCAAGGGCATTTGCGCGTAAGTGAATATAACGAACCCAACGGGAATTTGAACTTGGATCTCCGATTAAAAAATTTCAAACCATTATCCATTACTTCACCCACATATCTAACCTTACAGCACTTGACAATCCCAAGCGGTCACTCATCTAGATACTGACCAGGCCCAATGTTGCTTAAGTTCGGTTATAGTATGGGAACCGGTGTTTTAATGTGATGTGACAGTAAGCCTTCCAAACTCTGGAGTCGTCTTCTCTGACTTATCAAGAAATATATCGAGAAAATGACCATGGTGAGATTCGACATAGGTCAGGATACTAATGTTCTAACTATTCGACCGCGTGCATACATACATATACATTCTGAAAATAGGATGAAAATTTAAGAAAAGATACAGGATAAATATTAATAGCCTTTTTACAAAGTCACTCCATTACATTCATTTCTTTCATCATGAGAAACATCAGATTAGCGGAAAAAGTACTAATGATTTATTAAGCATATACACAAATACACACACACATATTTTTTTCTTTCTTTTTTTTGGTCTGAAGAAGCTTAGAAAAAGCGAAACACGTAATCAAATCTCGTTACAATGAAAGGTTTTCCATTTGTCTTATTACTTCAAAACTTTGTCAAGATACTGTATCCTAATTTATACATATACATACATATACGCATGTGGGTAAGAGCTACATATACCGGACATACTCGTGTATAGTGCGACCCCTGATTATTCTAGTAAAAAACCGAATTTTTTCATATAGCTCGTGTATAATGTGATTCCAGCTTCTGAAGAATACTAGTAGGCCTATCGTAATCAAATATTTCAGTACTGGATACCATTCTAGGTATATTTTATTGAAAATAAATATTCTTCATCCATTTTTGTACAAAGCTACTCCAAAATGGTAAGAAAAACCATTTACCGTGAAATATCTGATACGAATCTGACTAACCTGTACCTTTAGAGTTAGCCTAAGGTACTGTGAGAATGTAAGGTCACCATGTAGGTTACAGTCACAGAAAATACATGATTTTTAACCTCTTCAAAAAATTACCTGTGTATAGTGCGACACCCTATTTTTGCGTAAAATCTCGTATTATGCGGTATTATTCATTTATAGCGAATTTGATTGTAATAAAGCGTACAGATTTTGAATGTGACTTTTGCATACAAACAAGAGCATTTCGTCTAAACTGATACAACAATTTTAGCGCCAACCTTCAATTATAATCTTTCACTTTAATTATGTGAAGCATATTACTTAAAAGAATATACTGGTTGCAATCTTTTTTTGTTTATTGACATTTCGTCCAGACAGACATTTAAAACAACCAACTTAGGTTTTAGTATAATTGAAAAAAATAAAAGAATTGTCGGCCTGACTTACAGCTTTCAAAATTTTACTTAAACAAGTTCATATATATATATATTACTTCAAATATATATATATATATATATATATATATATATATATATATATATATATATATATATATATATATATATATATATATATATATATATATATATATATATATATATATATATCAGACATCTGCATTTAATGTTTTACAATGATTTATATAGACACTTTATCGAGAGAACACTGACTACAACTGTCGTTATGAATCAATGTTTCAATCTCTGATTGTCAATCCAATCTCTTTAAATGTATGAATCTTTGTCTGCTTGTTTAATGTCACTAATACTAGTGCAAAATAGTCTTCCTACCAATTTGTCAAGATTGTGTAGCACCATCACTATTAAATATAAATTGTGGATGCTTATATATCATTAAATACGGTATTCAACATTTATATCATTGATTCTTATTTCTGATACTTAGGTATTTGTTAGACAACCAAACTGACTTGGGCCGAGAATATATCCTCAGCGTGTTCCCATACGAGAGCAGTAAACAAAGAGCTCTTCAAATTTTGTCAACGGTAAGTTTATATGTGATATTCACATTGGTTTCATCTTAAACTGGACCAAGATCATTCGCCTTGTTATTCTGTGGTCACAGATAGTGACAAGGCAGTAGCACTTTTTGTAATTACTTAATACTAATATTATTTCTTAATCTGAGGCATTGTGTTAAAGATTAATGTTTACGTAGGAAGTCTCACAGACCTAAACTATTATCGGGATTTCGGTTCTTACTGGGTTCATGACATTTGGGACTTTGTCTCAGATTAAGCGCAACTAAAACTTAAACTCAGGCATCTCTCCGGGGAGCAATTGCTCGTATGTTAGTTTTGTCTATCATTATAACAAAATTTTTCTGCAGAATGGAGATCTTGGCAAAAGCGCCAAAAGTTTATAGAAGGTAAACACAGGTTCAAGGTCATAAAAACTGACGTTTCGTATTTTTAGACGCGGATGTAATAGAGAATAAAATAGTGGTTTCAAAAACACTTTTTAATTAATCAGAAGCGAAATAAAAAAATATTATCCTCAAGACTTTTTGGATCTCCGAAGAGCCTGTCGATTTTTACAAACTGAACTCACACAATTAACCGACTCCAGACAATGTGCGGTGCGTGACCAAAAATGCTACCATCAGAATATTTTACAGTTTTAATTCAAACTTACTGAAATTTCGGCCAATTCATTTTAAAATCGAAAAGATTTTTTACTGAAATGTATCGAGGGAAAAGTCATCCTACGATGAATGCATAAGATACCAAGAACATCCCAACATTTCTCAATATATATATATATATATATATATATATATATATATATATATATATATATATATATATATATATTACATCAAACGTTATAGTGGATACTGAATTTGAAATAGACAGCCATTTTTATTTTTACTTCAAACGGTGTGTATTACGTCTATCGGCATGCGTATTGGAGACATCTTGGAGAAGTAGGAGAAGCCATCTTATGGCACGGCGTGCGCCACCGCTCGGCAACAGACAGTGTCACATTTCAGCAAGGATCTATTTTCCCTTTTAAGGAAATCGCATCACCTCACTACCATATTTTCTCGAAAAATCCATTTCTGCTCAGTTTCGTATCTGAAACGTAAACAAAGCAGTTTCTAAAGAATTAATGGATTTATTTTTTAATCCGAGACTTTTATTACTTCAAGCGTTATTTTAAGTGGATACTTGAAGTATGCACATAACACACTGTAAAGTCCTCATCCCGATTCACTTCCTCAAATATGTTCAAATCATATAGCATCAGAATTTTAAAAGTATTTTTGATCGGGCCGAGCACTTTTCAGCAGTACCCTATATATAACAGAAACAATATAAATAAAGATGGGTGGATTAAATTTTGACGAGTGTTACGTGAATAAACCCATTAAAACCTAATCGAATTTAAACACCTAGCATGCCCATATACACACCTACAAACATGATCCCGAAATTCATGACTTGAAGGTATTTCACGACAGTAATTTGAAACAGAAACGAATAACCAAATTTTCTTTTCTCCAAAGCCTCAGCTACAAACTACACTAAATCACCGCGCAATTATATTGAGCAAGAGTGTTGTGTCTGGAAAGAAGTTTCATCTGTCCTATTTGTTGTTTGTAGTGACACTAATTTGCTTTGGAGAGAAGAAAAAAAAAAAGAAAAGAAAAGAAAAACAATCGCTGTATCATCTGGTCCGGTTTAAAGTGGGCTGTTTCGTTTTAAAATATTTACAGTTGATAATAAAGTTAAAAGTCGGTTGACGTAAAAAGTTTCCATCGATTAACACGTGTCTCATTTTTCAAATTCAGGTAAATTCGCCCCCTGAAAGCATATATTCTTCTGGAGGCCATCAAGTCCACGCCCCACTGGGTACGGTACTGTCACAAGCAGTCCCATTGAAAGAACATTATTATGGCCCAATCGCTGAGCAAATGACTAAAGCAGTAAGTATGCTTATGAAAGCCGTCATATCTGAAAGTGTTTTAACGTTCATTTGAAAAACAAATTGGTATTACTCTTTTGGGTATTAGAAAACGATATAGAACTTTCTGATTGCTTGATCAATTCTAAAATTATTGGCCTGAATTTAAATTCAAGTAAATAATGGTTTTTCAAAGAAGGCATCCAATCATATCCAAAGACGAGAAATTGGTATTATGTCATTTTTAGAGACTCTGCGATATGTATAAAAGAAAAATAAAATAAAAATAAGATTAGGACAGAAGGTTCGGATAGTTTTCTGGTTTATCACGTTGAAACACAGATTCTCGTACGATCATCGAAATTAAGCAACGTCGAGCCTGATCAGTATTTAGATAGGTGACCGCTTGGGAATACCAGGTACTGTAAGCTTGGATGTGCGGATGGTGTAATGGATAACCGCTCGGAATTGAAAATCGGAGAGCTTAGTTCCAATTCCAATCGGGTTCGTTATATTCACTTACGTGCAAATACCCTTGGGAAAGGTACGAATCCATCTCTTCTCCCCTATCTATGGGTTAATTAGTAGGTCTTGTATCAGAAAATCATTATTATTCCTCCAGAATTCTTACTTAAAAAATGGCTTTAAATAACCTACAAAATGTTAATAAGCCGCAAGAAACAAATCAGTGAATGAATGAATCAAATTAATTTTCTTCTTGTAAGTTGATTTTGTTATCCTGAACCTCTCTAGAAAAACCGGCTGTGCCTTTTCTATAAATATTTTCATGGTAATTGTTCTGATGAGCTTTTATCTCTGATACATCGAATTCACGAATTTAATGGTGCTACCAGATTTGCAGCTTGTTCTTATTTTACTGTTTAAATTTCTAGATGAAACCGTAAGTTCTATTCTAATAGTTTCTTCTGTCGCACTTATTGCCTGTAGATCTTCCGTCTTCTTTCGTCTTCTTGCATTCCTGTCAACAATAATCTTCAAAAATTAAATGCAACGTCAATCAGCATCTTTTTCCTTGGATCATGTTCTTTTATTGTCCTCTCTCCTCAATAACGTTTTATCGGTTTCTTTCACTCTCAGTAACATCTTGCGTCTTGGTGGCTTTTTGGGAGAGGTGGGGAAGAAATTATCACGACAAGGAAGAAGTGACACCAAGTTCCCGGGGTTGAGCTAATAGTTACGATATTAATGCAAACGTTTGTAGTGAAACTGTATTGAACAGTAACAGTGCTAAGTGACAGGAGTTCAACTTTATTTAACTTTAATTGAATAATCAAGAAAAATACTTTATTTTATATAAATCTTGGTGAAGTTGTTCAATAGGCACTGAGAATAGAAATAATCATTTTTTTCATTTTTTTTTATATTGCTATTAAAATTACGAATTAATTTTTTTTCATTGTATATCTTATTAATCATCACGATCATGATCATGATGATAATGATCATCATCATCATCATGATCATCAGTTGCATGACTGGGGTAAGATCGTAGGGTCGCTGAGCAGCTGGCCAGTTCCCTTTACATATATATGTAGGTTGGAACCCGGAAAGATATTCATTCATGCACACCGTGTATTGGGCAAGTAGACGTGGCTCAGACCATCCTTCTCCAGGTCAAACAACAGCCGATGTTCTCCAACTTGAAGGTTCGACTTCATCGCAGATATGTGGACGTTGATTCCATCCCCCACCCTAGCCGTTGACTTCAGTCTAGGAGTCCCGCCGCCCTGTTAGGCCGTGTCATCATTGCATTTACTGCATACATAGTTATGGAGTTCAGTCTACCATATTGAGCAAAATGGCCCTTAACCTTGCAAATAAAGTACGTCTTTGGCAGGTCTTGTTTAGTGTGTATCCACATTCCTCACTAGAAAAGACTAGTGTGGGAACCGGTTTAGTCGCCGATAATGCGACCATTCGGCAGGTAATATTGGGTTACATGGTACAACTAGCCCTCGTATAGTGACCCGACATAAATCTTATTTATTTTTTATATTGAAACTTAAAATTCTTAGTATGTTTCAATGTATAACCGGGACAACGATCTGATTTTCCTATCTCTGCCATGACAAAATTAGCCAAAGTCTACGGCGTGCTCCTGTGAGAGAGAGGGGGGAGAGAATGTGTGTGCGCGTATATATATATATGAAGAAATATAGTTTTAAGGTGTGCTATATTTATGGCATAAATTGCTCAATATCAGAGATAGTAAATATAAATATAAAAGTGAACATTGAAGTCAACACTCAGAGGCAACTGACGCAATCGTCAGGCCGCCTGACGATTGCGTCTAGCATGAAACAGCGTGTTGCCTCTGAGTGTTGACTTCAATGTTCACATATAGTACTTCAAACGTTATTATAGTGGATAATAGATTTGAAAATATACATCTCTTTTCTATTTATTAGTGTGTATCACGTGTACCGGCTTGCGCATTCGAGAAATCTTAGTAAACAAGATGCGTTTGTCTTTCATTATTAAGGTTTCTCAAAGCGCAGGCCGATAGACGTGATACACACTGTTGAATAAATAAAATGGTGATTTACAGTTGCTGCCAAAATGTTCAGAACGGCATTGTTTTCCTCAGAAAAGTAGGTATAATTTTTTATCAAAGTTGTTTTATATTCTATAATTTTCACAGACAATAAATACAGTATTATTTGTTATTGTCTAAGATTTTGGTGTAATTTGAGAGGATAATACAAAAGTTATGGATGATTTAGTGATTTACTGCAAAACCCACGGTGGCCAAAATGATCAGAACGGTTGATTTTACTCCGTGTTTTAGTATATTTAACCGGCGAACTCTAATTTTTTTAAATTTGTTTACGTGACGGTTCGTTTACTAAACATTAGTAAGAATATCTGCAGTGTACTTTGTTAATATAATGTCACTTACTCCGTTACCAATTCGTCAGCAGATTATTAAGCTTCGAAAGAAGGATAATTTAAGTATTGAGTCTATTGCAAAGATTGTTAACAAGTCAAAAAGTGTTGTTCACGGTATTCTTAAGGTCTACGATGATTGTGGTTCGTGTGAAGCAAGAAAGTCTACAGGTATACCAAGAGATGAGATTGTATGCTTTGGATCATAAGCAGATCCTTTTTTCCCTTCACACTTTGGCCTTTCACTCACTTTGGTAGAGATTAATCTTGGTTTCATCAGTCTATAAAACATTCTTCCAAAACTTTTGTCACTCATCTATATATATCCTTACAAATTCTAAACTGGCTTTTCCATTCTTTCTACTGATGAGTGTTTTGCATTTTGCAATATGGCCTCTATATTTTTGCTCTCAAAGTCTTCTTCTGTCATCATCTGCTGTTGTTTTCCGTGGCCGACTTGTTGTAGGTATATTGCTCAGTACACCAATAGTTCCTTTCTTTTTCAGGACATTCCAAATTGTTCTGTTGGCTATGCCTAATGTTTATCCAGTGGCAATGATCGATTTCCCTTCTTTTCTCAGATTCAAAACGGCTTGCTTTTCTCCCATAAACAGATCTCTCGTTTTCATGATGTTTTATTTTTGTCACAAAAAATGAAGTCATTAAAGATGAAAGCCCAGGCTAAAAACAAGAGTAATCCTGGTTATGAAAATAATGTTCATCTGGCAGTAAGGTCTCTGATCGGGAGTTTAGATGTTTTGTGGAACGTAGAACCACCTCTTATTTGCTGTTGTTCCAAGGTCCACCCTGACCCGAGGTGGTAGCACCTGTTAGGGTTCCAGCTATGGGCAAATAGTGACTCCCCACCAAGCAAAAACAAAACACTATGAAAGTTTAAAATACATTTTTATCGTAAAAAATGCCATTAATACATATTTATACCAAAATTAACAACAATATTCACATACTAACAAATTATAGCGACTTTAGAAAAATCCGTTAAAATAATACGAAACGGCCAACATGAAAGAACTTTCGTAACATTTAATCCATATAATATCCTACAATTTCTTAAATCAAACTGTATTGCAAAATATAACGTCAGCAAAACCACAACATAAAACACACATCACCGCGTCTAGTAATCATATCCACACAAACATGTATATGCACATCTAACATGTATATGCACATCTAACATGTATATGCACATCTAACATGTATATGCACATCTAACATGTATTCAATTGTGAAAGCAGAATAGCATATCATATTTTTATTACTTACAAGAAAATTAGATTTCGGGATTAAATTGATGAAACTCATGTAGCGTGATGCTGGAATAAACATTTGTTGATGAAACTCATGTAGTCTGATGTTGGAATATGGATCAAAGAAGCCGAGGTGTACCAGCGATATGGGGTCACTTTCCAGCCGCTGAATCACGTAACCTCACATCTCCTCTGGTTTGTCAATTAGGAAAAATATTTCTAATGCATGCAGTTTTATAAACAACCACCTAGAGACAGACTGGCTGAGACTAACTGGCGGAATATTGGAGTGAATAAAAGTAATGAAGATTAATATCTCGTGTTATCATTTTACCGAAACGTCAACTTCATTATGTTCATATTTTCATTAGCAGTTGTGTAAACAGAACCTATATATTTATTACGTTACCCTAAGTAAGGAATTGTACTAAACGAAAGAACAAAAAACAAACTCAAAACTTAAATAAACAAACAACGACAATAATAACAACAATGGCGATGATGATGACGATGATGACGATGATGATGCTACACCAGGCATAGCTTCAGATTTTAATTAATTGTGGGTGTTACTATGGATATGATATGCCTTGGTGAATTAAAATGGGTTTCAATAAGCTTGTCTGTTGTTTGATCTTAATCATTTGAACGGAATTAGGGAGAGTATCATGGAAGTATCTCGAGAAGAATGTTTTTATGTTTAGAGTATAAGACAGCCAAGGCAACTTGGGAGTCACATCTAAACACCAGAGAACACCCTCAATCTGAACGGACTGGTTTTCTTGACCTGAATGTATTTTTAATAGGATCACACCTGCAAGGTTTTGCACTGCTTTTAATGGGAATCTGTCACCATATCGCGCACAATTAGCTGTGATGCCGGATATACCCTTATCAAAGTGAATGCCATGATAGATAAACTGGGTTTCGGATATTTGTACTGCAGCGTCACTTTGTTGGCGTGCTCCTCTTTTAATGTGGTTGTCGCTTTTCCTGTCGACCAGATCTTAGCCATCGTAAACAAAGAAAGGAAGCTCTGTCAGCGGATGTTACTATACCGGTGTGAAATTAAAAGAGAATATCTTAATTTTATATTTGTAGTACACTCGTGTTTTCAAAGTGGTTTTTAGACGAGCTAAGAACTTTTAAGCAACGCTTCGTAATAATAATAATAATAAAAATAATAATAATAATGTTAAGTACGGTTATTATTCAAAATTTTCGGGGAAGACAGTGCGCATGCATAGTGAG